AGATGGTTATTCGTATACCCATTAGAGATTGCCCTGCTAACAATAAGAGGAGAGGTTATGAAAGAAAAAAAAACGCATTATATCATTTTCCATTTATCTTTGATGGCTGGACAATGATTAGAGGTCATCGATATGACAAGAATGTTATTGCAAAAACGTTTCTAGATCGATAACTTTGAGAAAAGTTTTCATAGTCTGGTTTCTGCATAAACTAGGGGCAAATCGATTTAAAGGGAGAATGTCATTTGGAGTGGAAAACGACCGCATTTGTCCTGGGATTCTCATTGAATGTTTGTGGGCTCAGAATTGCCAACTTAGGATGGCACGACATTGTCATCACTTCAGTTTCTCACATCCGTCGCTTTTTAGGTTGGTCGCGGCTATCTCAGACCGGACGTTTCGAAAATACGGTCGGACACTCCAAAGCCGTTGCTGGCCCTATATGAACGCTGTATCAAGTACAACAGAAACGAGAGGCCAGAGTTCAGCGAGGTTCGTGCATTCTTTTTTTTTCGTTGCTTCAACGACATGCTTCTGTTGTAAATTTGCGATTTGTTCGTATTAAAGTGAGCTTATGTGTTTATTTTCACAGTTTTCTTGTACCTACATCTGCTTAGAAAAAGGTAGCGCTGTTTTGTATTCTGATTCATTTTACAGGTGCTCGACAAGCTACGTGGAGTCTCTCTTCCAAAGCTGACTCGATCAACTTCAGCCCCCAATCTTTATAGAGGTGTTGTGGAGACAACAGAATCAATGGGAGGCTACAACTCAAGCACATCTCGGACTACTCATCACCTTTGGGGTTACCTTTAGGTTGTAATAAGTAAGTATTTAAGTTCTTTGAACTATTGGCTCGCAAATATAGGCCGGTGTTAGACTTTGCGAATCTAGCAACTTGCGGGGGGACGAGTCGAACCACGTACAGCGGATCCGAATTATGTGCCAGGGGATTGAAAGATGTACAGTGCTCGACAATGTCTATGAAAGTGGCGGAACTTCCCCTCTCGTTTGCACTTTGATTCTCGCTACTTTCTCCAGCTCTCATGCCCTCTCACTCTCTCATGCCCATGTTGCCGTGTACATGTTCGGTGGGGGCAGGTACCCATGTACGTTCGGTGGGGGACAGAAAGTGGTAACGATTTCACGAAATTCATAGCGCGTGTCTCAGCAGCAGTGTGGTGTTAGTTCCAAGAGCAATTACAGTGTTTGAGGCGGAAACATTTTGTGGGTTACGAAGTGATAAGGTCCTATAAGGGCTGATAAGGGACGCTAGAACGCAAATTTCAGGAACTTTGTAGCGTGCGTCTCAACAGAGCGGGATGAGAACTTTCATGCGTTCTCACTCTCTCATGCCGTCGTGAGCTAGCAAAATGACGAGAGCCAATTTTGAAATTGAGTCTGACACCGGCCATACTCTGCTTCATGTTTTTGCTTCAATTTTAGGCGTGCATGTCATAAAGAAAAGTAAGCATAAACGAGGAAGAAAGTCCTGCAACATTTTTTCTTACTTTTCATTTTGATTTTATATTTTTTGATTACTAATCTTGACCATTTGTATATCTAATATGAGTTTCTACCAGTGATCCCAGCCATATTTTCTCAATGTTCCTTTTCCAAAACGTGGCAGGGTGCATGTCTGAAAACCAGACCTTTCGAACTCAGTTGACCGTCGAATTATTACGACACAAAGGTGAAGATTGGAGGTCCGAAGCAGGTGGTATATACCCTCTATTTCGGGAAACGAAAAGAGCGTCGAGTGCAGACCACACACCACAAGTGACGACGGCCAAGAAAAAGTGGCTTTTCTTTTCTTTTTTCTTGGCCGTCGTAACTTGTGGTGTGTGACCTGTTCTCGACGATTTCCTGGTTTTCTAGAAGAGAGGGTAATAAAGGCTCGACCAGGGGAATACGCTGGGTGAGATGAGAAATCTTGTGACAGCTGCAGAATTTCTTAATCGGTCCATTTCCCAATATGTTGACTCGCAAAGTCGTGAAGGAAATGAATATTGTGCAGTAGGAACGTTTTCGACAAGCTATTCCCGCCAATCACTGGAAGTTATACAGCGCAGAGCTCTACTTCCTCAATGGTGCCCATATCGAAAACTTGTAGTCAACATCCCGTGACAGCCCTACATGCAATGGGAATTGTGAGGCGCTGATAATCTCTCAGAAAAGAGATTACAAAGCACACGCTGCTTAACACACTGACGACAGCACAACGGGCTGTCGTCAGTGTGTTTGCAGCGGGCGAAATTGGTTGGTTATCATGGGCCGTATGCTATCCTCCCCGAAGGGTTGGGGGACGAAAAGTCCTTTAAATTTTCTCTGTCTTCCCAACTGGGATTGCCCTGATAAAGGGCCTACATTTAATGTATGTATGTAGGTAAAGTAAACATGCACTGAAAATGAAGAAACTATATCGTTCAAAACAAATAAATTTAAAGGAAACTTTGGATCACTTAGCTTCGGGGAAGCATAGCATACGGGCCCATATCTTCCATAACTAGCGTCGAACGCTAAATGCTGCGTATGTGGTGAGGTGAGCCTCCTGACTGACATCCATTAAATTACGAGCCAAACGTTCATGAGAAGTTCCAGGCAAAACAGTTAGTCTCACCCAGTCTTCGGACCAGATCGTTATTGTTTTCCAAATTATACCGAAATCCTGATTATTTTTGTTTCAGGTCTGGAGTATGACTGTTGACGCTCTCTCCGAACATTTGGGTCTTTTTTAGTGTCTTTGATGCTATTTGTGTGTGATTCTGTGATACTCTTTTATTTTACGATGGGTGAACCTCGTGTTTTTCTGTTTAACGACTTAGGAGATTTTTCCAGTTTTACACCGGTATAATCTGATTCGGAATATGCACATATCCGCTTATTAGGTTGTAGTGTAGCACTAATCGCTGTTGTACCATAGGTTATTTCGAGCCTGAAAGAACATTCCTAAGCATGATAGTCAATGTAGGTGAAAGTTTTGATTCTCTTTACTCATTTTGACCGTATTTTTCATATCTCCGTAGCGTTTCTAGGCTTGTATTTTCATCAGCTGCATAAAAGCTTTGCTGTGTATGGTTTTCATTGGAATGGTATGAACATTGATAGTTTCGCTATGCCGTCACCGTTATCGGCTGAATTATGTACGGAAACTTTTTATCAATTCATGTACAGCATTCCGCTTATCGGGTAAAAATAAATTATTTATTCGTGACCAATGCTGAAGTGGTTCGGAAGGGTGCCCGTATTCGTTGTTGGAGATTTTGAGTCATCACTTTACATTTTGTTGAAGTTGTACAAGTTTTTCGCAGAAGATCATGTCGGCTGACGTGGACGAGGCATCAGATTTATGTCTAGCCATTCAACGGTTGATACAATCTCGCCAGTCAAATGATAGTGTTGATATTGACTACGTACAGCCGTTGGTGCAGGTGTGTCAGTCGTGCGGGAGCGTCTTTTATATGACTATTGCTGTGCTTTAACCCTTAGACTAAGACTTTTTTGAAAAAGTTGCCGGTTTGTTTTATGTAGTTTCTATCGGTCCTTGAAACAGCTACTCACCTAAAGAAGTTTGGCTGAAGAAAGTGCAGAATTTCACCTGGGGTTTTGATCCAGGGACTGCTCGCGGTAGCGGCCCCTCTTGTCACACACCATCACCGCTTGCTTGTGCGAAATGTAAATTGGCATCTTAATTAACAACTACGAACAATTTCCATATCTCATTCGTGGAACAAAGCCAATGTCCGGTAGCGACCACACTTGGGTAGAATTGCAAGCCGCACTCTGTAGAAGCGCTGCGGGTCTGACCGGGTGCTTCTGCTCTAACGAGTTTTCGTCGTCTTCTACTGCTTTAAATCTGTGTCGTAGTAGTCTTCTAATTTCACTTTCGCACCATCGGAACTGTCAGAATTTTGAAGGTTGGAGTCGCCAACACTGTCGTGGAACGCTGCGCAGTTCTCCGGCTGGTTCGTCTGATAAATGCCCCATCTTTCATTGTTCGTTGGCACATGTTGCAACTGATACAAATGAAGGGGGACACCAAAATTCACTAGCACAAATTGTTAAAAGTGTTTAAGCCTTAAAAACAGCCTTTTTGGGAGCTGCGTGCGTGGCGAATGACGTGCGGTACAGTATGCCTTATTAATTAATCCAGAATAACTCGCTGTGGTTTGTGACGTTTTGTTATCAAAGTCAAAATTATAGTATTTCTACATGTGTACAACTCCGCCATCAAGGGGGCACTTCAGTTTGAGTAAGTCCCAAAAGTGGTAGTGTCTATGACTAAGTGGTACACGTGTACTGTCAATAGTCAAAGGGCTAAAAGACCATGTTGGCTTTCTGATTTTTTAAATAAGTAATTTGTCTAGATTGTTGCTGGGCTCGAAAAATACAGAAATACTATCTGAAATAAGACCATTAAAAGAGGGCTGTGATCCATTTGTGAATTCATCAGTCTTGACCGGATTTATTCCCAGTGCTTAAACAGACAACTTTGTATCACTACAAATAAAACGCTATTTTTGCCTGTTTGTGTGTCACAAAATTCATAACACACGCTCGCAGCAATGGTGGAGCGTTGGTTCCTACTAGTGTTATAGTGGTTTGGATGGGGACACAGATGGTGGGTGATCTAAGGTGATCACTACTATAAGTGTTGATAAGAGGGGGGGGGGGGAGAATGTGGCTACCACCAATTCGTTGGGCTCTTTGCAGTAAACAGTCAAAAGTTTGCTTATGCAGTGTATAGAGTAGGCAGGACTGGGACACAGATGGTGGATGACTTAAAGTGAGAACGACCGATAAAAGCCGTTGAGAAGGGTCAGAACGTGTGTCCCACCAATCTCTTTGTGCCGCTTGCAGTACGAGTGGAGGGTTGGATATGACGTGTGACGTATGGTAACAGGGGCTGGATGTGGACACATATGGTGGGTGATCCGAAGCGATAACGACTGGTAAGGTCTTTAAGGTGGCCTTTAAATATGGATCATGAAATTAACTACTCCCTGTGCAATGTCCTGCCACATTCGCTAAGCGATTACCTCCAGTGCGCCTACACCACCGCCTACGCTCACTGCTCATTCCTTATTCAATATCAAGGGGAGGCAGTATTCATTGAACCGCTAAAGTGTTTCGATTTCTAAATAATGGCGAACGTTCATCAGATAAGTATCAGATGTTCAGCGAATGAGCTTTTTTCATTCCCATTCTAACACTACTAACAACAGGACCAATTCGACTGCCAAACTGACCGAAGTCAGTACAAATGGTGGATGTTTATGGAATTATACAGGGGGGCAAAAAAAGTCACTCTGCCCGTGGCGCAAATCATCAAACTTTTCGTCGCAAGGATGCCGCTGTTATTGGGAGTTATACGGCGAAATATTCCTTAGATGTCCCCCATAAGCAGAATCAGGCCCACCTTCGCTGCGTTCACCGTCTCCAGAATATGACGTCATCTGTCATCACCGTCGAGCTTAAGGAGGCCTACCATAATCGCTCCATTCTGAAGCTGCTACATAAATTCTTCAATCGGATAACTGGTGAATGGCTTCCTACGGTACTACTCGGTGTAGAAGGCCCACATGCAATGTTTTGATAGAATGTAAACGTGCTCTTGATATATGCCAACATGCGCTATTCGATTTGGTTTTGGCACACAGTGTAACATCAATCCTGTTTGATGTGAGTAAGCAGTGACTTTTTGGCCGCCCCTCCCTGTAGCATTAAAAGTACCAGTTCAGCTCCTCCGGCTATCGCGCGCATCACTCGATAAGCTGCAGCAACTGGGGAACCTATGGAACGTCAGATTGCGCATTTTACCAAAGCACCTTACTACTGGATACGTTGGCTGAGTGACCGAACGTTCCACAAGGTTCTCCAGTTTCACTGAAGTCTACCGTGTGGTGCGTGCGATAGTGTGCGGAGCAAAACGATTGATCTATGAACTTCCCATCAAGCACATGCTAGGAACTCTACTTTGCCTTGTCCACCAGTCATTGTGTCATGGTTGCTTCTGTTTAGACATAGTATACCAATAGATATTGTTCTGGCTCGCCTGTAGCTGCCACCTATAATCTAAACCCAGTTGCTAACCAAATGAGAATACCGGAGCGAAATAGTAGTTTTTCTTGTGGTAACTCCATTTCCCATGCAGTTGCCACTAATCTGGGCGCAATCTCTTGGTGTATAGACTCCCCGTTAAACTTTTTCATTTACTCATTGTACTCATGAATATGTACATGATATGTTACCAAGCTGCTTGGAATACGTATTAAGACGTTCGTTTTTTTTGCCATCCTCGAGCCTTGCTTCGATTGGTTACTTTTTGTTATGGAGACCTCCCGCAAATTAGTGATGTACCGACGTAATTTGTACCCAGCATTCATAAGATTCTACCATTGATCCAACCAGGTGGAAATACCAGCTTCTCTTCCTTTTTCTGACAAATGTGATATCCATCTCAGAGGGCGCCATTAAACGTGGTACTGTGTCTAAGAGTTGGATAGTAGAAATCTTCATAGTTGTAAATAGAACAGGTTTTGTTTTAATTTCAGCTGATACAACGGTTATTCGTTGTTGATTTGGAACGTGCTATTGAACATGGAATGGATACTACTATGGTCAACGGCAAAGCAGCTGGTTGATAGAGCTCGTGGGATCGCGAAATGGTGGCAGGAACACCGTAAGTTTGGATTAAAGGAGTCCTACTTCTGTGTGAGAACTTGGCCCCTCTTTTTGGGTATCATCTCGTGAAATTCTTCTTCTTTTGAGACCTGCCTTGTCGCGGCACCTTTTGGATTTATCCTATTACAGTCGACGACAAAGGCCATTCAGATAATGAACAATGAACTTATTGCGTAAGAGGATCCATTAACCCAATTTGACTTTTCAGAATTTCGAAAACGTCATCAGTTTGTGTGTGTCATGGCTATGCGATCTCTCGCTGAAAGTTTACTCGAACAGTACTCGACATCCTCCCTCCTCTAGATATACCTTCCTTTATTTGTCTCTCGCCAGCTCTTCGTGAAGAACAGGCGACTGCTCCACCACCCACTGTTGGCAACGCCTTTTTGGCATTCCTTTGCCTCCGTCTGGGTGATTTGTTCAGATACAAGGTGAACGGTTTAACTTTGATTTGCTGGATGGTGGTCTTCGTGTCAATTTTCCATATAACGCAATACCCTATGTAAGATAGAATTATCTGGTGTGCGGCGTTGCTCTCCGGCCGTGATCGAAGCTGGAGCTCGTGTGCACGGGCAGCGCAAGAACGCGTTTTTAATCGCGAGTACTCTATCAAGTCGGATGTCATTTCCTACGAAAATATGAATTACGGTCTTTGCGTAATCCCTTTGCAACACCATATATAAGTGGACATATACGCAACTAGTAGCCTTTTGCAAGTCGTATAGCTTCAAGATTCCAATATTCTAATAAACCAGTCGAACTGGATTTCAGCATGATGATTACCAGGTAGCCATGTATTCGAAAACTAGGATGCAAAAACCATTAAAGTACGAACGTAAGCGTTAAACGACAAAACAACCACGCTGGAATTGGCGGCAGCTGTAGTCTGTATTTTCGTGGCTCGACGACTGAAAATTGGCCGAGGCTGACTGAGAGTAAGAAGCCATCTGTTAAAGAATTGTTTTGTCCAGCCACTATTTTTTCAGTCGTTCAGCTTTTCATTTGTCCTTTAGCTTTCTTTATTTACAAGTGTATTTATCTCTATTTAAGGAGTATTGTAGGACAATGTGAAAATTTCAGGGCAGCTACGATTTGTGTGCCCGTCTATATCGATGTAGCCTTCGTGCAAATCCTTCGCATGGGGATCCATGGAATCAACTAGGAGTACTCGCTACTTTGAAGTTTGCCGTTTTTCAATCAGACTATTGAGTTTCCATTGGTTTCTGCAAATAGCCTCGATTTTAGAGCCAAACCGCTTGATTCTCTGTACTTCAATATACGTGCTTTTCATTGTCCCGTGCCCTTCGCTCCAGCTGCAACAAATATCTCAACACTTTTCCGAAAATACGTCTCTAAAGGTAACAAAACATTTTAGTGTGTTGGCTCCCCGATGGTGTGCAAATTTTGTTCAGATATTCGTGAGGGAGACTGCTTTTCTGACCAATATCTTGCAATTTTGGCCAAGTGTCATTTTGTGAGTTTCCACTTTCTATGTGCCTTTTTGTAAATCAAAGTTTTTACAGTTATTCTATTATCGCTATAGAAAGGTTTTGGATAGAAAAAATTTTGTCACCACTACGTATTATTACTTCCTTCCTCCTTTACAGAGGACTCGGAGGGTCTTTTAGGGCAAGCTGTGCTTTTTCAAAATGGTTTTTTTTGCATATTGTAGGGACGCATGTAGGGAACACAAAACCATGTTTCGTTTTCGCTGAACGGTTTAGTACCAAAAAAGAAGCATAAGGTACTGTTAATGGTTCGATCCCCCGTGGCGACTAAATTTTGCATTTGGGTTGGCGCCTACGGTTTGGTGCCAAATCGCGCTAAATGTCAAAATCAGATGTCATATTCATCGTCAGGACCATTTTGAAGCCAACAAGTGGCCCCCAACTTTGACCGCGAAATTTTGACGCCATTTACAGTCTTCCACTACGTATTTGGTACTACTGGAATCGTTAAGCAAAAGTAAAGCATGGTTTTGTAGTGTATAGGTGCATCCATACAAATATGCAAGAAACCGTTCTAAAGAAGCGCGGCATTGCCCTGAAAGACCCCATTGTGATATAGATGGTAAATCCGAATTACTAGTAATATTGATTTGCAGTTGTTGCCGGTTCCGGACAGTGCGGTTGAGCATATTGGTCCACAGCTAACAAATCGAAAATTGCTGGTGGCTCCACTTTCTTTGTTGCAGCCGTTAGGTATGACGTTTATTTACACTGATGTCAGCCCAATCAGATTTTGCAAAGATGGTTTACTTTGAGCAGTGGTGCTCATCTCTGATCAGCTATTTATTCCCTCCTCTAGATCGCCCTGAGCATTTGTGTGCCTCACAAATGGTTTTTGAACAAGCAACGTTGAAAGCTTGACATGAATTTTGCGACCTACTCACTCTTAATTACCTGTGTAGAAATGAAAGGCAATTTTTGAGTACAAGTTTGTTTATAAGAGTCAGGTATTTCATCTATTTGGCCACCATTGAATGCGCGCGGTAGCGTGCAAAGTCAATGGTATTGTAATACGGAGGGGGGCACCAAGAAAGAGATTTCGTCTCCACTTTCAAATGGAAATTACATTCACTTCTTGTTAAATTCAAAGTCGCCGATGTTCTCCCTTGAACATAGTACATATATCTCGTTTTCATGAAGGAAAAACCCTAAACGACCGCTCTTCTACCGCGAAGCACATCGAAGAGTCTGCCACGAAACAGGGTGCACGAGTTGAACTCTATACTGTCCTCGATGGACCGTGAACCATTACGACGTTTCCGGCCGGAAACGCGGGTAGGAGAGGGCTCGCATTGTCCGTGCTAGTTTTTCTCTGGGGAACTGTCAACCAGTGATTTGATCCAAGAAATATGTAGCAGCTTCAGGCTGGAGCAGTTACGGTAGCTCTCCTTGGGCGTAACGGCGATGGCAGATGACGTCATATTCTGTAAGACGATTGAGGCAGTGAAGCAGGGCTTGCGCCTCGCATTATGAAGCATGTTGTAGGACATCTTTTGCTGAGACTTTCTACCAATGGCGGCACTGCTGCGAAAGACAAAATTCGTCGATATGCGACATTAGCGAAATGTCTTTTTTTAACCTCTCCTCCATGTCTATAATAGGGATAGAATGAATAAGGGATGAAGTTTTCGGCATCAATATCACTTCTGTGATGTGCCACGCATATTCTGCCTCCACGCTGCCTTCATGCAAAATTGAGGTGGCATTTGAACGATTTGACCTTTACAATGAATTGTCAGAACCAGCCGATGGACAAGTTAATGATTTTGTCATCCCAGGCAGTTAGGAGGGTAAAACCTCATGTAAACGAAATAATTGATAAAGAAAAACTTGTTCGTTCGACCAAATAATTGACTTCGAAGGATTAAAGGCTTGGTTGTCGGGATCGCGCACTTCTAGAGATCTGCGCCTGGTAAGTGGCATATTTCCCACCTCGTGCACCCTCAGGGATAGGGATAGGACTCGTGAATTCAAATGTAGCTTCTGGTAAATATGTCAATGTGGAAGCTGTTACTGGTGCGTTACAGTGTGAAAACAGTAAATGGATTCCTCTCCTATATGAGTGAATGCGCAATTTTTGGTTGAAAAATTTGTCTTGATGTTTTGTTTCGTGTTACTGTAGTCACTTTATGTTTTATTTTTGCTATATTACATGGTGTTCATGTAATAAAGATAAGATAAGATAGATTTTTGGTTGTCCAGAAAGTCCTGGGACATTTTTACAAGATTTTTGATTGTGCATTTTTTGTTCTTGGAAAACATTCAATCAGCAACATTATCGCCATCAGCACACAGGGAGAGTACCTTTTTTGGGTGGCTTCTTAACTCTAGTAAGGTCCCAAAAAAGGTACTCTCCCTGTGTGCTACTTTGAAATTCCGGCGTTTATTCATTACAAAAAGGCGGGATGGAGTGGACTTCACTTAAAGCTTTGATCAAATTTCAAAGATAATTAGGGTTGACAGTGGCTATCATGCGGTGCAGGTATCCAGCAGCTTTCTGTGGAGCATTCTTTTGCAAAATCATCAGAATCAAAGGAAACCGTCCTTCAGAGGCCTGCTTAATCAGTTAAATCCAGCGATTTGTATATGTATGATTCACGTAAGGCCCCTGCTGTCTTTTCGGGTCACTATTTTGGCCAAGGGATTGGTCTGATGTGAAGGAAGAAGAGGAGACTCATTCACGATCATCACCGTATCATGCTGGCGCAACCCATATGGTGCCCAAGGGGAACGTACTGTTCTATTACCGAGGTCGTGGAATTCCCAATCACTGTCGAATGAGTGCAGCCTTGCATTGCTGCCAACTCACGACAGCTAGCATTCGACTGCGTCACAAGAAAGTTGAGTAAAGGTTCATCATTCGTTTCCTACGGTTGATGAGAACATTGCTTCTCTTCGATAAAAAATCTAAGTAGGGAAGCTCTTGGATTAACGGTACAGTGGCCTGGTGGGTTACCTCCTCCACTGAAAGCAGCACAAATACTAGCTGCCGACTCAACCAGGGTGTTCTTTCAAGAATTCGTGATTTACAACAGGCCAAAAGATGGCTTGTATCAGAGAGGAGTTTGATGCTGCAAACGTTGCACAAAGCATTTATATGCCCTTCTCCTGAAACCTCCAAAGAAATCTACAATAATCAAATGCCGTAGCAATCGAAAAGTGTTTTGATTTTTCCTCAAAGAAATTTGCTCAAAGTGTCGCAGGACTTTCTGGACCGCCCAATACTACTGTTTTTTTTTCCGGCCGGACGTGAAGTAGTATGACACTTCCAGCATTTCGTTCTACATATTTGTTATAGGCAATGCACAAGATGAGCAACGCGCACGTCACACCCTCACACAGCTTTTAACGCTGGCCTTCAACAAAATTACAGAGCTGCTAACGAGCGACGTAAGCCTTCCGAACTTATCTGCGCTGTGTAACACCCCCAGTTTATAGTTTTTAGGCTTACTTGCGGCCCGACCTGCTGCTCTGTATTGTTCTTCTGCTACGAGTCCCGAGTGTCTGCAGACCTGATGTTGCTCTGATAACCGCTCTATCGCGATCCCAACAGGATGTCATTTTTGATAACGAGAAGGTGGAAACTTTCAGGTGAGTATTTTTGGCCATTCCTTACGTCCCTCATGAACTTCTTGGTGGTGGGCGACAGGTTATCCACTGTTGTAGATGCCTCAACTTGAGCAGAGTCCATGTTTCATGATGTTGATATATGATCATTTTTCAGGTGTTTCTGTGAATCGGATCCTTTTGAGTATCCGGTCAGTTATGGTCCAGATTGCAGATCACTTATCAGAACTGATGGGAGATGGTGACAGCGTCAAGACTCCAGTGCAAGGTTAGTCGGACCGGTGTGAGGTCCCTGGCGTCCTCTGATAGAATTGTGTGCTTCGAATGAAATTGAAGCAAGTTTTAATGCAGAATATTTATTTATTTATTTATTTATTTATTTATTTATTTATTTATACGTCCAAATGAGACGCGCCAGTGAATCCAGTATGCGAAATCAATGCAATAATTAAGAGAAAAAAAGCAATGAAAGGCTGATCTAAGGAACCAGCAGTACCCATATGACTGAGAAGGTGAAGTGAATGTGTTCGAGGCAAAAATCATAGGAGGAATGATCATCAGGGGCTGCGAAGACCTAGGCCTAACTGAGGCAGCAATGGTGTGATATCAGGCAATTACCTACACCAGTCGGCTATGGTGTCCTTTAGTGCCACAAGGGGTCATAGGCACTTGCCGGGACTTCGGCACACGGGTATACCGACCACCCTCGTGGACCCGGCAAGCTAAGGTAAAGGCCTCAAGACGACAAACCATGACTAATTCGAGGTAAGCAAACCAGCCCTTTTGGCGTTTCTGCTGGGGCCGTATGCTGAATGTTGGGGAGGGGATGGGGTCCCCGAGGTCGACGGACTACTTCAACTCGGTCGGTACGGTAGGAGAGTGATGACGCAAGTGGTGCAGCTGGGTCCAGCAGCTCCGCCAAAAGGGCTGGTTTGCTTACCCAGGACTAAGCCTTGGAGAGAGGACGGACCTGCGCTCTCTCGCAGGTCCGTCTCTCTTTAAGGCTTAGTCCTGAGGTAAGCATCAAATTGAGGCATTTTAAGGACCGAGTTGAAGTAGTCCGTCGACTGTCGGAGACTTCGGAGACTCCATCCCCTCCCCAACCAAAATTCAGCATACGGCCCTAGCAGAGAAGCGCCAAAAGGGCTGCTTTGCTTACTTCGCCGCAATATGCTCTATGTTCTCTTTCGTGAGCTCAATGAAAGACCTGTTTTCCCCGCACATAAGACATGAATGCGGTTTTTCTAAAACTACACGAGTTGTCGAGACTATGATATCTACTGTATAAACAGTGTATGCAAGTTGAAATCGCTACAGCCGCGAAGAGCGCGGAAAGAGCGCGATTTTGGTAGCGCCGCGGCCTCACTGACCTTAGTAGATTCATGTATAATAGTAATGAGCGAAAACAAAGACCACACATGGTCAATACGCATATGTGATCCCCCAAAGAGTGGAAAATTTCGAATAAAAAAAAAACGCCTTAAACTGAAACATGTTAATGGAATAACATGTTAATGAAAACGCAAAATTTGTCAACATTCGTTGCAGTGGACATAAAAAGCATTTTTCCTTTGATTGTTACAGCAGCACCTTACATTCACTCAGCATTGTATCCTCTTCCGGTACGCTTTTCATTCATATGTTCATGGGATTACAAAGAAAAAGAGTCATCCTAATCGGACATTCAGTATGGCCCAGAAAACCTCCTCTGAGCTGAAGCATACCTATCCCTGAAGTGGCCCTGATGTTTATAGTTACATATTATACTTGTCATTATTTCGCTAATTAGTTATAATTACACCAGTTGGCGCCGCACGCGTTGCGCGCACAACACAGATCTGCGGCGAAAATTTTCAAATTTGGCCTGATACACTACGAATATCTGACTTCTCAGCTAAATTCTATCCGCTCCATCATCGACGGCTTTCAACCTCTTTTCTTCGTCAACCATTATCCTCTTTTTCCCGGTCTCCGGACTGCTTCGGACCGATTTATAAATCTCGTGGCAAACTCCGCCTATTTCGGTGCAGCCCCACCCATCTTTTTCTTCCTTGCCTCCCACGTTTTTCCCGATCTTCTAGAACTCCCTAGAAACACTTGAAGTCTGGCAACAAACTCCGCCCACTTTGGTGCGTGCCCCGCCCACCAATAGCATTTGACCTCCTTTCCTTCGCCGACCTCTACCCCTTTTTCCCCGGTCTCTGGGACTTCTTGGAACCGAATTACGAACTTTTGGCAAACTCCGCCCACTTTGGTGCGTGCCCCGCCCACCAATAGCAGTTGACCTCCACTCCCACCTCTATCCACTTTTTCCCGATCTCCAAGGACTTCTTGGAACCGAGTTATAAGTTTGGTGCCAAATTCCGCCCACTTTTGTGCGCGTTACGCCAACCATTAAAGGAATCCTTCGCGGAAAATTCTTGTATTCTTTCTTGACATGAATTTATCAGATGTGATCACTGGAAACAGCACACAAAAATTCACGCATGAAGATTCGGTTTCCGAAAAGAAACAAACATACAAAAAC